AAGGAAATGTGAGTAGTACCAAGGGTGGAGACTGCCCGAATCATTTTCAGACTTCCACTGAGCAAAGCTGGGTCCAGAACATTTCAGGATGCGTAGGACGAAGCAGACTTGGAGTTTAGTAAAAGGCATGTATTATTATCATTATTATATGTCTGCATGTGTGTTTGTGAACCACAGGTGCCTGGTGCCCTTGTAGGCTAGAAGAGAGCATTGGATCTCCGGGAACTGAAGTTATAGATGAGTGTGAGCCACCGTGTGGGTGCTGGGAACCAATCCTGGGTCCTCTGCAAGATCAGCAAGGGCTGTTAGCTGCTGGGCTAACTCTCCAGCCCCTTTAAAAGGCATTTTAGTATAGGTTAATATATGGTGTAAAATTGTAAGCACAAGGAGCACTTGGAAAGAGAGTAGGACACTGAGAGTATGGCTGCAGGCGAAGAGGAGTCACAATACCATTGTCCTTATGATAGTCGCATATAGACTTTGGTGATGTCCATGGAGGCTGGAGAAATTTAATTAAGAGCACTTGCTGCTCTTCCAAAGGACCTGAATTTGGTTCCTAGCTCACACATCACCTGGCTCATGACTAACTCTGGCTCCAAGGGATCCAGCACTCCGGATCTTAGCAAACACCCGCAATCCTATGGCATGCACAGACACTCCTTAACAATTCTTAAACAAAAAAGCATTTTAAGCTGAGTGTGTTGGTGCCTTTAGTCCCAGTACTGGGGAGGCAGAGGCAGGTAGATCTCTGAGTTTGAGGCCAGCCTGGTCTACAGAGGAGTTCCAAGATAGCCTAGGGCTACATAGAGTAACTGTCTCAAACAACTGAAAGAGGAAGGAAAAAAATTGGAGAGCTCGAACATGCAGCGGCTATTGTGTTTCCTGTGATTCCTCCAAAGACATTCTTTAAGTGCACAAGTGCATGCATATATGTTATCTGAGGGGAAAACCCTACGTGTCCAAGCACGCACAGATGATAACGTATGTGTAAGCAATTTCCCACTTCATTATTTTAAGAGTATTTTTTTATAGAACTTGAACGCTTGTGAAGAGCTTTGTCCTCTATTCTCCTCCACTAATCCCAGCCTAATAAGGGGAAATTTTACTGTCAATAAAGAGCATTAACACAGGGACTGAAAATATAAATCCAGTACCTCAGTGATTTTTTTTTCTACAACATTTTAAAAGTTTTATTCTTAGTTTTGTGTGTGTGTGCAGAAGGGTGCAGGTGACGGAGATGGCCAGAGGCATTGGCTCCCTGGGAGCTGGGTTATTGGTGGTATGAGCTGTCAGACGTTCACGTTGGACTGAAGTCAGGGCCTCTGGACGAGCAGTGTGCACTCTTACTGGCTGAGCCATCTCTCTATCCCCCTGCCCCACCCCCTAAATAATTTGTGAAGAAAACAAAACCTCATTGTTCCTTTTCTGAGGACGCCAGGTCACCAGCTCAGTAGTCTGAAGACTGGCAGAAGGGGAGTTGAGCTTTTCCACAGGCTCCATGCTTCCCTCACAAGCAGAGTGATTGAGGGGACAGCTCCTCTTCATTACAAGTGTCCCCCAAGAAATGAAGACCACACCAAGGGAATTAGACTCTTAGTATTTTGTAACCTCCAACGAATTATTGAATTCTTTGTCTGTTCCTGAACTTTGTAACTTTATTCGTTCTCCGACTTTTCACGATTTAGTACATTATGATAGCTCTGTAATAGCTCTGCTACCACAGGAGAATACCCCAAGAGAAACCCAGCAATCTTCTTCAGACTCTCATCTCTATTCTTTCAAATTTAGTTTTCCTTCTAAAGTTTACAATGAATTTACCTAGCAACTTTAAAAAAGGCATGGTGGGTTTTTTTTTTTTTTTTAAGTTTGGAGTTGTGTAAGATTTGCATAAAGAGGATTGCCATCTGCTGTGTGTGCTAGCTTGGATAGTGCACTAGATAGAATATGGAATATAAATATCAAGTTTAGCATCTGTGTTGGGGAAACATTGATTGTACAGATTTAGTTATTAAGTGACTGACGTAACCCCTTTGCCAGGCAGTGTTAATACACTGAGAAGAAAGCAAGCAGCCCTGAGGCGCAGGGTGCAGCTCAGCTCAGTGGCTGTGCTTGCTCAGCCCGTGCCAGACTCTGGGTTTGACCCTCAGCACTGCAAGATAAGAAAATAGAGCAAAACCCAAGGGACTCAACCAGGGCCGTCCCATGCCTCGGAAGGCAAGCATGGTGACATTTTGGTTTCAGCTGACTTTTAGTTGGATCTGGCGATTGCTCACTTGTACATAATCGTGGTTCACAGTGAAGGATGTGCAGAAAAGTGGAGTGAGTGGCTTAAGTCCTGGAGGCAGACGTGGAGTATGGATCAGGTGTCCTGTGAATGGGCTGGGCTCTTGGATGCTTGTTTCCCCAGTGTAAAATACGAGAGTTGCGTTGACTCCTGTTGAGGCTGTGCATGAGGCTTAAAGGACATAAGCCAAAGAAAGAGGTTTGTATCTTTGGCACTCCATCCCACATTCAGTAATGTTTATTATCCTTATTTAAACTTGTCATCTGGGGCTGGGGAGATGGCTCAGCAGTCAAGAGCACTTTCTGTGCTTTCAGAGAACCCTGGCTCAATCCTCAGCACCCTCATGGCAGCTTATAACCTTCCCTAACACCAGTTCCAGGGAATCTGTCACTCTCTTGTGAATTCCTCAGACAGCAGGCACAGAGAGAGAGCACTGGCTGCACTTATAAAGGACCTGAGCCTGAGTCCAATTCCTAGCACCAAATGGGGGCTCACAACTGTCTGTAACTCCAGCTCCAAGGGACTCAACATCCTCTTCGGCCCTCTTCAGGCATTGTGTGCATGTAGTGCACAGACATACATGGACTCAAAGCACTCGTACACATAAAAGTAAAATAAGAAAAAAGAACATTATGGACATTTCTACTTCTTGATGGGTGCAGAAGTGTTTGGAGAAAAGTGCTGTCCGTGTGCAGCAGACAGACGGCAACTTTAAAGGAAAGGGTCTGCTTCTGTAAGCTTGGTCTTGCTTCGCTCACCCCAGTCCTCTTCCGTGTTGTCCTGCTTTCCTGCTACTCTTGTACTGGTGCCAGTGTAACCATGGCATACTAGAAAGCCCTAATAAAGTTATATTTAATCAATTTACTTAGCATCCTTTTTCCAGGCTGGGAGGTGGCTTAGTGGGTAAGAGCGCTTGCTCTTCAGTCAGGAGGACCTGATTCCCAGCACTCACATAGGAAATCCGGACACAGCGGCATATGCCTATAAGCTTTAGCAGGCAGAGACAGGTAGGTCCTAAGAGCTTGCTGGTTAGATAGCTGAGCCAAAATGGAAAGCTTCTGGTTCAGGGAGAGACCCAGTCTCATAGCAACAAGGCAGAGAGGTGGAAGACAGCACCTGAAATCCTGCTGTGGCCTCTGCATGCAGATGTATGGGGTGCCTGTGTGGCCCATGAGCACAACATACAGTTCATCCTCTTACGTCCTTTGGGAAGGCATTACTAACTTCATATAATTTTTCTTTCTTTCTTTTTTTGTTGTTTTTTTGTTTGAGACAGGGTTTGTTGGGGGTAATCTTTTTGTGCACCGTGTAATGATTGTCTTTGTATTATTCAAATACTGCCTAGAGCAAAGGCAGGAAAGGAAAGTGGGACTTCCAGGCAGAGAGAGGAACTCTAGAAAAGAATCAGGTGTGGAATTCACCAGATATATATATATATATATCTCCATGTCTGACTGGTGAATCTCCCACCTGAGATTCTTTCCCAGAGTTCCTCTCTCTGCCTGGATATCCTGCCTCTCCTCTCCAGCCTTTGCTGTAAACCATTTAGCTCTTTATTAAACCAATCAGAAGGTTATGGAAGGAGTGTTTACAAAACATGATGCATCCATAACAACAACAATCTCAAAGCCTGTACTCAGCTCTCTTCTGGCATGGAAACCAGAATTTGAGCAGTACAGAGACAGCCTTTACACAGTGCCGAAAAGATCACCGAACATTGGAGGGTAGAGGTGACAAATGTCCTGGAGCCCCTTGACTTGCATACTGGGGACCTAGTGCAGGGCCCCTGGAAGAATAGCAAGTACTCTTAACTGCCGAGCCATCTCTAGCTTCAGGAATTGAATCTTTAAGCTATACTTTATTTTGAATTCTAGCAACCCTTGAAAACCGGATTAAGACCCCAGGGACTCTGCCTTCCCTCCCAGTTTCTGCCAGCACACTTATAGGGTGAGGGAGCAAAGCAAGCAGTCATTCTGGAGCCTTGGCTGGAGGAGTCACCTTGTCTGTGAGGTTCATAGTGCAGCTCTCCTTACTGTCTCCTGTACTTTTATTATGAAAGCTCACCTGGGCCTACATGGTGGCGCATGCCTTCAATCCCAACTAGGTCTCGGGGGCAGAGACAGGTGGATCTCTGTGAGTTCAAGGTTAGCCTGGTCTACAAAGTGAGTTCCAGGACAGCCAGAGCTATACAGAAAAAAAAAAAACTTGTCTTGAAAAACAAAACAAAATAAAAATAAAATAAAATCTCTCCTGTAGTCAGGTCTTCTGAGTCCCGCTAGGATAAGTAGTAGGTTAACTGAAGACCAACTGTCATGAGGTTGTCTGTGCTGATTGTGAATATGATTATCATAGTGTGTGTGTGTGTGTGTGTGTGTGTGTGTGTGCACAAATGCACAGAGCCCCTTCCACACTAGGAAGTACAAATGTGCCCTTATTTCTAGAATATAAAAGTGTCCCTACCCATTCCTTTGTCTACTATCAGACTTTATTGGCATGAAATTCACAGTGTAGACTGGGGTTGCTTCAAACTTGAGACCATCCTCCTATTCCTACCTTCCGAGTGTCAGAACCAGTTTGTATAACTCATAGCTGTTGTACAGTCTTGAGTAGGCTAATACCATAGATACAGTGTTCATGTAAGGCATGTGAAACCTAGTGAAAGAAGACAAAACTCTCAATTCCTAGTTATCTTTAAGTGCGGTTTATGCATTTGCAGTGAGCGAGGAACCTGCTGCAGCCAGTGATCCTGAGGAGCCTTCTGTTGTTGGTGTGACACCCCCACCTGCTGCAGCCTTGAGTGTGCCCCCAAACCCCAACACCACAGCTCTCCCTGCCACATCCACACCAGCTGAGGGGGAGGAGCCCAGCACTTCCGGGACACAGCAGCTCCCCGCCACCGCCGCTGCTGCCCAGGGCCCTGATGCTCTTCCTGCTGGGTGAGTAGTCTTGCGTCCCATGATGGCCTCACCCTCACACGTCAGGAACAGCATGGTGGTTCCTTGCCTACTGGGAAGGCTGCTGTGAATAGAGGCAAGAGAGGCGTAAAAGTGCTGGCTCTGTATACAGCTGAAAGAGCGCTTAAATCATCCGTGCCTGTGGGTGCCGCTTTATGCTGGTACTTAAGTGGACAGCTCTGTGGAACTCATTGCCCTTGTGGGTTTGGGGGAGTGTCTGACTAGATGCTGCCCAGAGAATAGCCTGAGTTTGGCCTTGGCAACCCACGGAGGCCTCTGGTTTTAGGTGCTGAGCTAGCGTGGCTGTTATTCCCACAGCTGTGGCCAGTGTTAACTTGGGTGCTACTTTTCTTGCCCTCTTTGAGTTTGGGTAGGAAAGACCTTAGCCAAGATGACAACTCCAGCAAGACAAAGACAAACTCAATTCTCACTGTGTAGTGAGTGGAGATTAGGAACATGGATTCTGGGAACTGACCAGATGGCACAGTGGATAAAGCACTTGCTGCCAAGTCAGGCCTGATTTTGGTGAAAGGAGAGAAATACCACACACACACACACACACACACACACACACACACACACACACACGTCTGAACTGTCTCCTCTGGATTGACCATTGATCTCTACAGGCCCATCTCCACACAGACATACAAATAAATAGATGCTGAAAGAAATAATTCTAAAGAAACACATTTTTGTCCTGCTCAGTCACTAGTGACCTGCTGATGTAGGCTGGAGGACAGGCTGTTTCCCTCAGTGTGTATTTCGTATAGACATTGGAAGGACATCTCTTGCTTCATGGTGAATATGATGCCTTATCCATAAAGCTATTTCTGAACTCCCAATGGTTAAAAATCCTGTATCAGAAAGCATGTGTGATTTTTGCTGCTTGTACTCAGCATTCATATAACTCCTTTCCCCTAATAGTGTGTTGATCAAAGGAAAACTGTTGCAGTAATTTTAATTATCACAAACCTGAAGAAAATTGAAGTGTTAAAAGGCAGTTCTGAAAAGGCCATTTTTTTTTCTTTTTTTTTTTGGGCGGGGGGAGGTCAAATGTTTGATTTTGAGAAAAGATCATTAGTCAGTTGCTTGTGTACCCCTGCAGAGATTTATTTTCTCTTTCATATATGGTATGGGAAAGAACCTGAAAGAACTTTGTGTTGCTCATACTTTCAAATCTGTGTGCTATAATTTGGGGGGGGGCACAGAGCAGAATCATTTTGGCAGAAAGGAGAGAAAATGGCCGCCTATGTCCCCAGTGAGCTGTTTGTTTTCTTTCCTTCAGCAAATGCCTGGAAGGCCAGCCTCACTTCTGTGTCAGTCACAGGCAATTAAGGCTAATGGCTCAACATGTCTTTATGTAGGGCGTGTGTGAGGGTTACTGTTCTCTGGGATTGGGCACTTCCTGTTTCCAAGCAGTTGGAAAACTCCAGGTCTGAAAATGCTCTTTATTCAGCAGCCCAGAGAAGCCTGTTTCCCCACCCCTTCCCTCTCTTGGCCAAGGGCTAAAACACTTTTCTGAGGTAGAGTTTGGACAGTGTCTTTTTTTTTTTTTTTTTTTTTTTTTGGAACATTTAGAATGTGACAAGGCCCATGTGTTTGGGGTGGGGAGGGGGCTGGGGGTGCTGCTACCCATTTTTATGTGTAAGATGTTCCAGAGAAGAGTGTGAGAGTCCAGGGGTACTTAGCCCCTCGGTGTCGGGAGGGCTGTGTGAGGGCCCAGAGCATGACCCCAGCACTGTTGAGCTCCCAGTAGTGGGGATAACAGGCTTTTGGGTTGGCTCTTTGGTATTGGGACCCAGAAAGGACATAGTTTCTATAGTGACGCTCCCAATTCGTAGACCCTGTGCGATATTCAGGAGGGCACTAGGGGAAGTCACAGAATACCTTTATCTTTTATGAGAATTTATAAATGAGGTGTCTAATCTAAACTTCTGCCAGTGTCCAAATTATAGGCCATTGCATTTGTTTTTTTTATTTAAAAGTTTTTATTACATGTTTGTTTTTTTAAGTTTGTATAGGTGCATGTATACAAACACACACAGAAATCAGAGGAAAACTTTTTGGGAGTTTGTTCTCTTCTTCCATCATGTGGGTTGTGGAAATCAAACTCAGGTTGTTGTGCTACTGAGCCATCTCACTGGACTGCATTTTTCCATTAGAAAGGATGTTCTGTTTGAGAAATAGCAAGTCCAGGGCTGGCTTTGCAAATGTAGAACTAAATGAGGTGTGGTCTGTGCTCAGAATAGTTTATGAAGTCTGCTCTGGGCCCACTAAGTTTTCTCTCTGGGCACCTGATCCAGTCAGTCCCCTGGCTTCCTGGAGAACTGATGCCAGCTCCCGTTTCTATATCTTGAACCCAGTGTATGAGTCGTGAATCTTAACCTAATTCTGAACCATCCTTTGCTCCATCCTTGCCTATCCTGAAAATGGTCTACCGTTGTCCCTGGAAAGGAAAACTTTAAGCTTGAGCTCTTCCACTTGGAATGCCACAGTGAATTCCTGTTGTCTGTAGGGACACATTTCCATATCCTTAAGTAAGCTGAAAATCTTTGCTGAGGGGGCTCCACCTCCCATCAGCCTTCCATTAAAGCCCCTCTCCTGCACTCTAGGCTCCAGTCATAATAAATTAGTCTAGTTTAATCCATGCACTACCCTCTCTCCAGACTGAGGGTCTTCTTCCCCCCCCCCCCTCCCGCCATGATGGGTCTCTCTCAAAGCTTCCTCAATGTTTTGACATTTAATTCCTTAAATTTCAGGTTAATGATAATCCTCAGGAAAGAATCTACCCTTCCTGATTGATCCCTGGCCGTTAAGGTCAGATAACCACATGTATGGCCGTATCTTTTCTCACACTTGATTGCTTGTTCAAGCCTCTCTGTCACTGCTTGTCATGAGTACACCTAAATGCTGTCCTTCCACCTCCCCAATTCCAGTTTTCTTTCTTGCTCTTTTCACCTGTGAGAATGTTCTCTGCTTCTCTGACAGAGTCTTTCATTTTTCTTCTCTCTCTGGGTTGTCTGGCTTTGGTTTCAGCTGTGTCTGTCACAGATAAGAAGACCCATCCTTGTCCACAAGGGCTCCTCACCACTGGGATGCTCCTTGAGCAAAGGATTTCTAAGCTGGCCTAGACTGCTTGCTTGGGCCTTGGGTGTCTCTGTTTCCAACTGTATCTCCTTAGATCCTCCATCTCCTTTGCTGAGTGATGGAAAACTTTCACTGGAGATTCCAAGAATTGCCACATTGGTCTTCTGAAATTTACAGCAGGAAAGACTGGTCGCATACATCTGTGAGCTTCCAGGCCAAGGACTGCTGAAACCCAGGCTGCTGATGGCCAAACACAACATTCCTTGTTCCATTTCTCTCCATCTGTCTAGAAGCCCTCCTTTTTTTTTTTTTTTTTTTCCTCCCCCTAAATCTTTTAACTTAATTAGCCCCAAAGAAGCTACTGGAAGGGTGTGGAGTTTCCAGGTTGTGAGTGTCTATTGAAAGGAGGGGTGCTGGACACACGTGAGGTAGTGGCCCAGGCAGGGGGTGGAAAGGGTGGCCTCTGTGGTTAGGTGGCCCTGTGTCTGGTTTCTCTCAGCGTCAGAGCCCACTTTGGAGACTGAATACCCCTGAACAGACCATATGTACATGGCTTTGACAAACCCCTGTCACGCCCCAGTCTCTCAGCTCCCCAAGTCCCTCACACAGAGGCACATTATTTTACCCTGGCAGCTCGCACACGGCTGTGGTTTCTTACATAAGAGAGGACGTTGTGTTTGGATTGCTGGCTTACCTCAGCTCTGCCATTTCACACCATCCCTGTTCTCCCAGAGTCATTGACTCTCCTGTTTCCTGCCTCAGAGTAGAATTGATGGAGTGTTTTCCAATCCTTTCACGTTTGCCGTCTGCCCTGTCCCTGTGCCTGTGCTGGAGACCCAGAGGCTTCTCTAGGTGGACTTAAGAACCTGGAGACATTCTTGGGAGACACTTAAAAAGATGGGGAATTTGGAGCATCTCTGCTGAGTTACAAACCAGCCTTTGCCACTGAATCTCACTCCAAACTTGATCTTGGGTTTCACCAAAGTGCTCCTCACTCAGAGCATTTTACAGTGCCACGAAAACTATGAGTGAAGAACGTGCCTTTTGGGGGTCACTGTTAATTTATTACTAAATTGTTAACTTTGTTTTACCTTCTGTTCAAGGGATCACTTACATATCTAGATGCTGAAGCAATGTCAAAGACAAAGAAGTTTTTAAAAGCTAAAAAAAACCTGTTTCTGGGGACATGACTGTTAAGAATTTAGATCATGGACCACATTTTGAGTAGTCTGGGATTAGAGGATTAATTTGGAAGACTGTGCCCTTTCTCCACCTTGTGTTATTGTGGAATATGGTTTTATTCTTGGCCCTAAAAAGATTATTCCATGCCTAAGCAACTCAAGGCAGCGTGTTCTGTCTTCCTTCTGAAGGGCTCTGTGCTGACCGGTTGACTTTCTGAGCAGTGGGCTGTTCTTCCTGGACCTGAAGTATGTAGCCACACGTGATCAGTAGTCTACTTTACTATTCTTTCTTAAGAGTAAGGATGCTGTGCCCATCTTGCCATCGTGAGCATCTTCGTGGTATAGAGACGGAGTGACAAGTGTCAGTAGATAAGTGAGTGCACACTTACTCATCCTTATTATTTTAATTTACATTTTGATCTCATAAAAGACTATTAAGCTGAGCATGGAGTCTCACACGTGTAATCCCAGTGTTTAAAGAAGCTGAGGCAGGAGGATTGTTGAGTTTGAGGCCAGAGTGAATGAATCTGTTTCAGAAATCTGAAACACAAAACACACAAAGCAAAATCAAATAAGATCATTGATTGGCGGGTGGGAGGGGTTGTGGGGTACAGACACAGCATAGCAACAGCAGTATCAAAAACCTTTCTAGACGTAAGCATTTCTATTTTAATGCATCTAGTGTCGTTTTCCTGATCATTAATAGTAGCT